AGGACTGAAAAAGCCTCTCTTCTCTGGGGGTGCACCTGTGCCTTGCCCAGTTTATAGTGAGAGGCATTAATGGAAAAGGCTTTAGACTTGGGATCTGAACTCTTTTCTAAAATAGTATTTTAATTAATTCTTTGAGAATTTCATACAATGTATTTTGATCATATTCGCCCCTCTCCCCTGTCTCCTCTCAGATCCCCCCTGCAACTTTGTGTCCTCTTTTTTAAAACTATTTAGTGTGTGTGTGTGTGTGTGTGTGTGTGTGTGTGTGTGTGTATACCACGTGTGCAGGAGCCCATGGAGGTCAGAGGCCCTAGAACGGAAGTTACAAGTGGTGAGCTGCCCTGTGGGTTCTGGGAACTGAACCAGGACCTCTGCAAGAACAATAAGCACTCCTAAGCCCTGAGCTATCTCTCCAATCCCTTTTTTTCAAAATCCATCATCAGGTCTGATTTGTGTTGCTCAAATTCTCTTGGGTGTGGGTCCATCCCCTTGAGCATGGTCAACCTACCAGGGGTGAAAGAGTCAGTTTAAAGAAAACTGACTCTCCCTCTCCCCACAGGTATCAATTGCTAACAACTCCTTACCTAGAAGTGGGACTTCATGCCCACCTCCCCACTCAATGCCAAGATTTTGTCTGGCTTGAACTTGCACAGATCCTGTGCATGCTGTCACACCCACTGTGAGTTCATCTGTGTAACTGCCCTGTTGTGTCTGGAAAACAGTTTCCTTGTAGTCACCCACCACCTCTGGCTCTTACAATCTTTCTGCCACCTCTTCCACAGTGATCCCTGAGCCCCAGGGAGAGGAGTGTTATATAGACATCCCATTTAGGTTTGAGCACTCCACAGTCTCTTATTCTCTGAACCTTGACCAGTTCTCTGTGTTCATTAACATTAACTAAAAAATGAAGTGTCTCACTGGGCATGGTGGCACATGCCTTTAATCCTAGCACTTGGGAGGCAGAGGCAGGTGGATTTCCATGAATTCAAGGACAGCCTGGTCTACATAGCAAGTTCCAGATCAGCCATGGCTGCATAGTGAGACAGAGAGAGAGAGAGAGAGAGAGAGAGAGAGAGAGAGAGAGAGATTCTCTGATGGGGGTTGAGAGATGCTCTAATCTCTAGGTATAGTGATAAGTCATTGAGAGTTGGTTTAGCACTATGTCCATTAAGCAAAATAACAGTAGTAGAGTCTCCCCTAGGGTCTATGATCTATCTAGCCACAGGTTCTTGGCCCTGATAATGGTGCCAGGTATAGGTTCCATTTTGTGGAGCAGGCCTTAAATCCAATCAGAAAGTGGCTACTTCCATAACATTCAGGCCACTATAGCACTAGTGGCATATTTTGCCAAGGCAGTGGGAAGACTGATGATTACATTTTCTCTTTCGATAGTCTACCCAGCACCTTCTAGCACTACAAAAGCTAATGAGTAGGGATGAAGCTTCGAGGTCAGTACCAGCTTGACTTCTCCATGTACTATGACTCAAGTATGTAGTGCCTTCAGCAATAGGATCTTATCATCAAGTTCTGGAGGTCAGTCAAGAGCAGTAGCAATAGCCAATATTGTTTGGGAGTCCATGGGAGCCCATTGGCCATCAAGTCCAAAAGAGGATTCCTGGCAATGAGATTTTTATTTGCTATCCTGTGGTGTCTAGTAAGGGCATTGTTTCCCCATTATAGGATAACTCCACTTAAAATCTTTTTGTATGTATATGTATTTTAAGAAGTAGTAGTTTTCCATAATTTTTTCAAAAGGCCTTTAATATCAGTTGTCCTTCTCATACTGTGTCCTCTGCCCTGCCTGCCCATTCCCCACCCATTTAACCCTCCTGTTCCATTATTTCCCTTTCCCCTTTATATCACTGCATTGTCTCCCCTCCCTTAAAAGCCTCCCCATCCCTATGGCTCCTTACTAGTTTCCTGACCTCTCTCTATTCTCCAAACAAAACACATACATATATCTAAAGATTCAAAGCTAGCATCTACATATGAGAGAGAACATGCAACATTTGTCTTTCTAGGTCTGGGTTACCTCACTCAGGATGATTGTTTCTGGCTTCATCCATTTATCTGCAAATTTTTTAATTTCATTTTTCTTAACAGTTGAATAATATTCCATTGTATAAAGATATCACATTTCTTTATCCATACATCACTTGAACATCTAGTCTGTTTCCATTTCCTGGCCATTGTGAATAGAGCAGCAGTGACTATGGATGGGCAGGTATCTCTGTAGTAAGATATAGAGTCCTTTGGGTAAATTCCCAAGAGTGTTCTGTCTGGATCATGTGGTAGATCTATTTCCAGCTTTTTGAGGAAACTCCACACTGATTTCCAGAATGGCTGGTCTAGTTTACACTCCCACCAGCAGTGAACAAGTGTTCCCCTTTCTCCAATCCATGCAGTCTTTTGTCTTCATTTGTTTTAGAGACCTTAGCCATTCTGACTGGGGTAAGCTGAAATCTCAAAGTAGTTTTGATTTGCATTTCCTTGATTTGCATCACCCTGCACAAACTCAACTCCAAATGGATCAAAGGCCTCAACCTGAGACCTGACACCCTCAATCTGATAGAAGAGTAAACAGGGAATACTCTTTAATTTATAGGCACAGGAAAGGACTTTATGAACAGGACCTCCAACAATTGACAAATGGGACCATATGAAACTAAAAGGCTTCTGTATGGAAAAGGACACCACCATTCAAGTAAAAAGGCAGCCCATAGAATGGGAAAATATCTTTGCCCACTACATATTTGACAGAGTTAGTATCTAGAATACACAAAGAACTCAAAAACTAAGCATTAATGCCAGACATGGGGGCACACACCTTTGGTCCCAGCACTTGGGAGGTAGAGGCAGACAAATCTCAGATCTCTGTGAGTTCAAAGCCAGCCTGACCTACATAGCAAGTTCCATGCCAGCCAGGGCTGCATAGTGAGACCCTGTCTCAAAAAACCAAAAAAAAAAAACTAAACATCAAGAAAACAAACAACCCAATTAAAAATGTGGGAGAGGGCTGAAGAGATGCCTTGGCAGTTAAGAGCACTTGCTACTCTGGCCAAGGAGCCAGGTTCAGATTCCAGCACCCACACTGGACAGCTCACAACTGCCTGAAACTCACATTCCCTCTGGCCTCTACAGGTACTGTACTGCATCCATGTAGTGTACCTACAAACAAGCAGGCACACAAATGTACACATAAAAAAATTTTATTGAGCTCCTGCACACTTCACACATCAGTTCAGGATGAAATGAAGACTCCTCCACCATCCAAACCCCACCCCCCAAACTGGGCCTCACACATTCCACCACACATGCTAAGTCCCATCGCATCAAGCATTCTACCTGGATATCCCTCAGTGTACATCCATCCACTGGCGTCTACTCAGCCCATCCAGAGATCTCAAGTAAGGTTTACTCTACCTCACCCAGTTGTAATAAGTCTCCAGCAGTTCTCAGGTTAGGGCTGGCCCACTGCCCATTTCCCTCACACACTCAGGGTCCTTATCTGACCAAGTTGGCATGGGTCTTGTGCTTGACGTCCACTTACTGTTTCAACCATCACCGCAAGTTCACCTGAGCTAGCTTCCAGTGGCCTGAAAGCCTCTGTTTCCCCATGTTCATGGACCAACCCTGGCTTTTACAATCTCTCCACCTCCTCTTCCGCAATGATCCCTGAGCCACACAAAACTTTTTAATTGAAAACAATTGGGGCATGGAACCAAACAGGGAATCCTCAAAAGAAGAAATGCAAATGACTGAGAAATACTTTCAACACCCTTTGCCGAGCATGTTTAGAACAATGGCTCTGCTATACACCAGCCTTGTAGCCTTGCATATGTTTACTTCTCCTTAAAACAGAGATAAGACCACCAAAATACAAAGCTCAGGCCTGGCATGGTCCCACACTCCAGTGATCCCAGCATTCTGGAGGCTGGGGCAGAAGGGTCTCAGGTCCTAAGCTGGATTGAGTTATGTAGTTAGGTCATGTCTCAGAAAACCAAACGAATAAAAGAAGCCCGATGCATGCTTTCTTAAAAGGGACCAGAGCACACAGCAGGAGATCCACAAGGCTGGTTGGGAAAAAAAATCTACACATCTTGTTCCTATGGTTTGACTGAAATTGAATGTTTCAACTATGAATGCCGGCAGCAGTACCTGTAACCTAGATAACAACGGAAGATTTAACACCTCTCCTCACATTATACCCATTGCAGATATGTCTAAATGTATTTTAAGCTCACCACTGTTTTTTTTGGGGGGGTGGCTTTTAGAGACAGGGTCTCCCTGTAGCCCTAGCTGTCCTGGAACTCACTAAGTAGACCAGGCTGGCCTTGAATTCACAGAGATCCACCTGCCTGCCTCTGCCTCCTGAGTGCTGGGATTAAAGGCATGCGAGACCACACCTGGCTTATCATTGTTTTTTCAATATTTATTATTTTTATTTTTGTGTATGAGTGTTTGCCTGCATGTGTGTATGTATACCCAGGTTCAGCTCCCAGCACCCACATGGTGGCTAACAAACTCTAGTTCCAGGGGATCTGACTCTTTTGGCCTCTGAGGGCATTGCATGACACAGATATACTTGCATACATGCAGGCAAAATACTCATACACATAAAATAAAAATAAAGAAAGCAGAACATTTTTTAAATAAAATTCATTTTTAAATAAACTAAAACCTTTTTTTTTAATGTGTATGTGTGTGCTGCCTGCATATAGGTAAGTATACCTGTGGAGGTCAGAAGAGGCTGTCAGATCCCCTAGGACTGGAGTTACGAACAGTTGTTAGCTGCCATGTGGGTGCTAGGATTCAAACCTGGGTCTTCTGCAAGAATAACCAGTGTTCTTAACCGCTGAGCCATCTCTCCAACCCCCATTAATAAACTAAAAACTTTTAAGAATACAATCAATAATTTTGAAAAAGAATAAAAAATTCATCTTATCAGTCATCAAAATGTACTGCACATTGTGAGAATATATATGTGTTAGAGGCACTGCTGTAAAGCCAAATTTAACTTTATTTAATGACAAATGTGTCCCAAGCTTCCCTTCTGCAGAGTGTACAGACTCTTTGAGGACAATCTGTGGCTGCAAACAACTTTCTACAGTTTGCCAATATTCTTGGACCATCCTAAGGAAAGAAAGCGGCAGACAGAGCTTCCAGCCAGTGCCCAGTGGTGAGGACGCAGGTCCTAATTTTCTGTGAGCAGACTGTCTTCCTTCAGCTGGGCCTTCCTTATGCTCTCCAAGTTCAGTTGTTGATACTTTCTTTTAAAAAAACCACACTGAAACAAAGAGGAGGGAAGCCTAGTTACAGGCCTAAAATGGCCACCTGTTCTAGAGACTGTCATTCTGGTTGTGCCTAAACAGCTCCAGACTCCTCTGCCTCTCACACTTCTGTTCCCTCCCCTCCCCTAAGCCTCCCTATGAAAGTCAATTCTTCCAGACCCTTCTTAAGGGCTGCCTTTCCCAGTGATCATCCCCCAGGCAGAGCTGGCCTCCCACCTTCCCCTGAACCTCAGAGCACTTACACCCTTTTAACTAACTCTGCAAACAGTATAGTTTCATTTGTGCTGGATCTGATCCTATTTATGAAGAATACACAGTACAATCCACTATGCTAAAGGCAGAAAGAGATCATGCAAGACTCCTGTATCCCAAAGCTCAGAATCTAGGAAGAGGGAGGAAATTACAATACAGCATAAGGCCGGCCACTTGGGAGAGCTTCAGAAGGGAGCTCTCAGGATAAGCACCTATAGCACAGAGCCTCCGGGAGCCTTGGTTAAGTTTTCAGAGAAGAGCGTGAGCAAGGTGTGACAGTGGGAGCCGGCACTCCTGGCAAGAGGAGTCACATGCTTCCCAACACGAACACATTTAAGGAATGGTTTGGAGCTGGTTTGGAGGAAAAAACAAAGACTTAGGGTGCTGAAGGGCAGAGGTTAGGAAGAAGAGGGCCTTAAATAGCACTGGAGGAGTTTGGATTCTAGTTTGGGGAGGACAAAGAAAGAACTTTAAAAGGAGAATGACAATCAGATCCATTTTAGGAACATCTCTCTGTGCTCAAATACTTTGGTCAGGTTCTTATTTTTTCAGAGAGAACCTGGCTGATTCACTTGCCTAAACAGGGTGTATAACTGCAGTAAGAGAGGAAAGAGGCTGCCAGGCCAGGGTAGGTGCACTTGGTCCAAGGCTGGCTTCCTCCACGGTACTGGGCCCAATACCAGAGCCTGGTGTCCTTTCATCATTACAAACACGATGAGCAGAACTGACCTTGAACAGAATGGCTATAATCACCACCAAGACCAGGAGGCCACCAATACTGCTGCCAATGATGAGAGGCAAAGAGAGGAGCTCCTCATCCTTCAGGAAGATGACAGTGATCTGGATAAAGAGATCACCCAATAAGTCAATAGAAGGAAAATGTCCACATGTTATTTCAAGGAGCAAAAGATGAGGACTTGGTAACAAACTGCATATTGATCAAGACTGATGATGGTACAGCAAAAAGCTGGCCATCCCCTGATGCAGCATTTTTTTTTTTTGGTCTTTTTGAGACAGGGTCTCCCCTGTAGCCCCAGCTGTCCTGGAACTCACTATGTAGACCAGGCTGGCCTTGAACTCACAGAGATCCGCCTGCCTCTGCATCCCGAGTGCTGGGATTAAAGGCATGCGCCACCACGCCCAGCTGATGCAGCATTTTATATCACCTAAAATCATCTAATGAGCACAATATTTTATAAGCTATTCTGGTCTCTGATCTAGGTGAGCTAGGATATCAGGAGATGTGACCTTGTGTCTAACAGTCCAAAAAGTTTCCATAGGATCAGCGACAGAATTAAGATTACACAACAGCTGTACCCTCTATGTCCTTGAGCCCCATGGTCATTATCCCCAAAGTGATGGCTTCTTTAAATGATCTCCAAGTCCTTTCCAGCTCAGTCTGACAGACACTTTTAAATCTTGCATAAGTCCCTGGGGCTAGAGAGATGGCTCAGCGGTTAAGAGTACTGACTGCTCTTGCAGAGGACCCGGGTTCGATTCTCAGCACCCACATGGCAGCTACAAACCATCCTTAACTCCAGTTCCAGGGGAATCTGAAGCCCTCTTCTGACCTCCATGGCATGGCACAACACAGGTGCACTCACATACATGCAGGCAATACACTCATACACATAAAATAAAAATAACAAATAAAATATTTTTTTAAAATCTTGCATAAGTCCCTAAAGTCTTTGGCAATACATTTTTCCAAAAGAAATACATAGGCAGGGCCTGCCAGCTCTTGCTAAGAGCATGCAGCCCTCGGGGACAGTATATCAAGTGTGAAGCTCTGTCCATCTACAGTACTTGCAGAACTCTTCTAGTAGAAATCATTCTGTTTTCCTAAGACTCCTATGATTTCAGAAGTCTTGTCTTCTCTCACAGATGACTGGGCTGAAGAGCTCTGGGGATATACCTCCTGCCTGGGACCTGGCTCTCCTGGTACTGGTCGGAGCATCTTGCCAGGACACAGGTGGGGCCAGATGGGCATCACAACTAGCTGTTGCAGTGTTTAAGCAGCAAGGTCAGGAATGCTTTGGAGGGATTTCCATACAGGGTATGGAATAAAAAAAAAGTTGCCCTTGAGGCCTCTTCCATTTAAGTTACAAATGCTGACTGACTCAGGCCTGGCCCTCCAGGCCCAGCTTAGCTCACAGGTAGCTGAACTTTACAGAAGTAAGCTCCTCCTATTTCTTGAGAACAGGGGGCAGCAGAGCAGGTGGGAGGAAGCACAGGAACAGCTGGCTTTCACCTCAGCAGAAGAATGAAAGGCAGAAAGGGGAGACAGGACTCCAGAACCTGGGTGAGGAGACACAGGAAGCCCCAAGATAGAAGCCCCAATAGGCCAGAGTGGAATGGAACAGCACACATACTTCTCAAAGTCCTCTTCCCTTGTCCTCTTTGAAATGCACAGGTTCCCACAAAGTGCCCCAAAGCCACTCTAGCATAGGGCAAGGGAGAAGCAGGACATGGGGCCCCACTACTTGTGGCAAACACTAGAGGGTGGGAGGTCCAACAGCCATTCTTTCCTTCAGAAAGGAGTCACAGGGGTCAAAGCCAACGTGACAGAACAGCCACCATTGTGGCTGAGAGGAGATTTGGTCTGCACAAACCACACGGGAAGGAGGCGCCTCAGAGCTTTCAGGAAGTCTCTTCCCTGAATAATGGGGGCACATGGAGAAAACTCCTCTTGCTGACCTCATGTCTCCTGCTTTGTATTATGTCATGTAAAAACACTAGATGAATATACCTAACCCCAAACTCCAAGCTCCAACATACTCCAAAATCCAAAACTTTTTTGAGTACCATATTAGCAACTCAAAACATTTTGGATTTTTGGAGGATGACAGCTTTTAGATGTTCATATTAGGGATGCTAAACTACAAAATTCTACAAAATTTCAAACTCTGAAAAGCTCTGACACCTGAAACACTCGGGAGTGAAGTCTGAAGGATACTTGGGCTGTAGAACACTTAGAGACATGACAACTAACTCTGCTGGCTACAGGGAAGGCATCACCATCAACAAGGATCAGAGCAGGGAGGCGGCTGAGCCTGGGTCTGCCTCCCTCTAACAGTATATGCCTGTATGGGATCCTTACCTGTGGCTCAAATGCATTTGGATAGACAATTGTTTACAATCATCTATTGTTGAACATCAGTTAGTCATCACAGAAACCACCACATATTTCATTTATTAGAACACAGAATTTAAAGAAAGGGATTTAAAGGAATCTATGCTATAGAAATAAAAGCATAAATTAAGGATATACACGTAAGAAACTGTTAACAGCAACTACTTTGGGAAGGGGGAGTTAGGATGTGGGAAAGGGGAGAGTGAAGGAACCATTATTTTCAACTGGCACCTTCTATAGGTACTGTATTTCATTGTATTACTTATTTTATTTTATTTGTTTATTTTTGTCTTTTTGAGACAGAGTTTCCCTGTAGCCCCAGCTGTCCTGGAACTCACTATGTAGACCAGGCTGGCCTTGAACTCACAGAGATCCACCTGCCTCTGCCTCCCAAGTGCTGGGATTAAAGGTGTGCGCCACCACACCCAGCTGTATTACTTTTTATTTTAAACAGGGTCTCATTCTGTTTCACTACTACTTTTTTTTTTAAATACAGGCACTTCTATTTCTTCCATATCATTTTCTATATTAGAAATACCTCTGGGGCCAGCAAGATGGCTCCATGAGTAAAGGCACCTGCCATCAGGCCTGATGACCTGGGTTCAATCTCCAGGACCTACATGGTAGAAACAGAGAGCCAACTCCTGCAAGTTGTCCTCTGACCTCCACATGTACACCAATGGCATGCACATGTGCACATACATATACATACCAGACAGATGGATGGATGGATAATTGATAAATAGAGAGAGAGAGAGAGAGAGAGAGAGAGAGAGAGGAGAGAGAGATCAGTGGGTGGATGGATGGACAGATGGATGGATGGATAGATAGATTAGAAATATTCCTTGAAAAGCTGAGCATGTTGAATGCCAAATAAGATGTTCCAGCTTCTGCAATAGTGACGCATCTAGTGTATGTACAACCAGCAAATTTTCTATTGGATCTAATGCTCGCTCCTAGAGGTGGAACACACATCTGGTACAGTAGACCAAGCCAACCCCCTATGGCAGGGAGGGATATAGGTCCCAGTGGGGAAGCCACTGCCAATTGTTTTGTTAGATGGATGTGATGCACCTGTGTTTATGCCCATAGGTTAAGTTATTATAGCAGTCATTGTTTAGATGTTCTTGCTTCTTGCTGTTTATGTTTGTATAGTAGATGGAATGCCACTGAAATGGGCCAAAAGCCCATGGAAAACAGATGATTCAGAGACCTGAAAGCTCAGTGCCTTGCCACAATGGGAGGAAGATCATCCCTCACCCATCACCCCCTCCAAGGCTCAGGGACTTTTGCAGAAAAGGTTGTCAGAAAGAATGTAAGAGCTGGAGGAAGGGGTGGAGTGTTAACTGGAAGTGTCCTCCGACCACTATGCCGGCAAGCTATAGTCACACCTCCTTCCCACATGCATCAATGAGTCAGTGGGGGGAGTCAGTTACCCCTCCCATCCAATCAGTCAACCTTAGCTGCATGTGAGGGAGGGGCTAAGGATATATAAGCCAAGAATGCCGTGAGGCACCTCTCTCACCATTTTGTGCAGCTGTTGGGAAGTCACAGGATACATATTTGAGTGTGGATTTTCCAGCACAGCCATAAATGGGGGGTGCCCATTCTTCTGTAAATAAACCCCCACCCTATGCTCTGTTAGCAAGCCCAATAAACTCATTAGGATTTTCAAAAAAAAAAAAAGAACAGAGTTAATGGAAACCTTCATTAGTCCACCAAAGTTGACCCCATGTTGGCCAGTCCTTTGGTCTTTGATTTCTTATTCCTATTCCCCCCCCCCTTAAATTCATTGTATATATATTGTTTTATGTAACCTGCTTCAAGTTATTTCTGGAAACAATGTGTTAAAAATGGCCTCTCTTTGGAAGAATATATATTTTTTAAACTATTTTATTATTTTTATTTTATGTGTATGAGTGTATTGCCTGCACGTATGTGAGTGCACCCGTGTCGTGCAATGCCGTGGAGGTCAGAAGAGGGCTTCAGATTCCCCTGGAACTGGAGTTAAGGATGGTTTGTAGCCACCATGTGGGTGCTGGGAATTGAACCCTGGTCCTCTGCAAGAGCAGTCAGTGTTCTTAACCACTGAGCCATCTCTCTAGTCCCTTTTTTAAACTATTTTTTAAAAAGCTGAGCATGTTGAGATCATGCCATGCTCTGCCCTAAGTTATTGTATTGTGTAGAACAGTGGTTTTTCGGGACAGCCTTGTCCTGAAGAACCATCTGTTTTCCTGCTTGCTTGTTGAGACAGGGTCTCCCTGAAGCCCCAGCTGTCCTAGAACTTGCTACGCAGACTACTTCCTAAATTATTTTCAAAATGAATATATTTTCAAATCTAAGTACACCCTGTATATTGATGCCAGCCTAGTTATTTCAAGTTAGACCTTCTCAGTTCAGGCTTCTTAGTCAAACTGCCTTATTTTGTAGATGGAAAAATGAGGCAAAAGTTCAAAGTCACTAAAGCAGCTGGTGGCAGAGCCAAGATCGTAGGTGACAACAGGGCACATCTGTGCAGTGGCTCATGAATAGCTCTCCCAGAACACCAACCAAAAGGCAGCCAGGAGTTACCTTAGTTCTGTGGTTCTCTGCATTCAGCCCCTCATAGAGAGACTTGTTGAAAGATATTTCACTGAGGACCTGCAGTTCTGTTACATCTCTGAGTAACTGTAAGATGAGGGGAGGTGGGAAGGAAATTAAACATATTTTAGGCATGGACTGACTGTTTCCGGGCAGAACCCAACACTTTCCCTTTAAACATACCCCTTCTCCAGTATTCCCATGGTCTCATTAATGGCCCCCAGTAGCCACACAGTTATCCAAGCAAGAAGCCCTCAACTTCTTTTCCCCTACCTTTTGCCTCATGCCACAACCCCATCCAAAAATTACTTCTTGATAATTCTTTTTCTGAAACATTCTGTCTTGCACATGGCCCTTTTTCTCCACCCCCACATTACTCTCATCTGAACCACTATAAGATGTTAAACTTAATCACTTGTTCCCGCTTTTGAATAAGGCCTCTCTCTGAAAATAATATTTGAACAATGTTATGCAAATTAACTACAAGTACAAAGGTCCTGTGTGCACAATGATATTGGCTGAAAGAACAGAAATGACCAAATGTCTGGTTATAAGAGAGGAGGGAGTAGCCGGGCGTGGTAGTGCATGCCTTTAATCCCAGCACTCAGGAGACAGAGGCAGGCCGATCTCTGTGAGTTCAAGGCGAGCCTGGTCTACATAGTAAGTTCCAGGACAGCTGGGGCTACAGGGACACCCTGTTTTAAAAAAGACCAAAAAAAAAAGAGGAGGGAAAGAGGAGTATTAGGCAAAGAATTAAGTAGAAACCGGGGCATGTCATTCTTTACATGCTATGAAAGAAGTACAGATTTTAATCTAAGTGTATTCACCTCCAAAGTCCACTGCTTTTGTTTGTTTGAAGCTTTTAATTTTTGTTTTCAGAGGAAACTGACACACCTACTATTTACTTTTAGAAGGTGAGTAGATGTTAAGCGAAGAAATGCTTGCTTTTTCTAAAAATTGTATGTATGTGTGTATGTGTACATGAGTGCAGGTGCCTGTGGAGACCAGGGGAGGCGTTAGATCCCCTAGAGTTGGAGTTAACAGGCAGTTGTGAACCCCCCAACTTGGGTGCTGGGAACTGAACTCACATCCTCTGCAAGAACAGTACGCACTCTTAACTGCTGAGCCATCTCTCCAGCCTGTGATGAGTTATTTGTAAAAGTTATGGGAAAAGCCAGGGCTCAAGGACAGCAGGTTATATAATAGTCCCAGCAAGAGATAGTGACCCGAATACAACAGCAGCGGCACAGACAGGGAGAAGTGAGCGATTTAACATGTATTCTGGAGGTGAGATGGCGTGGCTTGGGCAAGGAACGACGTGGGGATGCAGCAAAGGGAGGAGTCACAAGTCATTCCTACACATCCCAGCATGGAACAGTATTAAGATACCTACTGAAGGCTCCCGAGTAACAGGCTAAAGAGCAGGTTGGGACAGAAGGTGGATCAAGAGATCCATTTTGGACGTTACATTTCAGAAGCTATTCTTTCTAAAGGAGAGGCCCTAGAGCTGGATAACCAAATCTGCAGCATTTCAGTCTCAAGTACCTGCTTAGAGTGATCCAAGGAGAGCTCAGCAGTCACAGTTACATTTTCCTTATTAGACGTGATGTCACAACTCACTGAATGCCATTCTTCTACACGCTGCAAAGGCAAAGTCTTTGTTCACACACAAGATAGAGTCAGCGGTCCCAGAATCGAAGTGAGCTGTTTGAACGCTCACCTTCGCCCAAGCAAAGCGTCAATCAGCCTTGGCAAATGCGGCCAGGAGGCTGAGAGTCTTGGAGCCGCGCTGCAGTTGCCTTCAGAAAGAGCCTTGCAGAAGCAGCAACCCGACCTCTGCCGTCACTGCCCTTCAGGCCTCTCCCCACCTCCCTCCAACTCCTCGGGCGGCTGCACTCACCTGAGCAGGATGGCTTCCACACGCACGCTCCTGACTCTGCTTGCAGGGAGTGAGGACCTGAAACGAGAGCCAGCCATTCCCAGGTATACACAAAGTCTCGCCCGCCAGCGCCCCCTGGCGGCTCCCTGGAGGTCCGGCGTGCTGAGCAGCCGAGGTCGGGCGCTAGGACCCAGCGGACGGGCGCAGCGCTCGCGGCGCGGAAGTCTCGCGGTGTTTTCGTTTGAACTGCCGGGCGGGCGCCGGCCATGGAGGCGGCGGTCTCGCGGCGCGGTAACCGGCTCTTCAGAACGTACGGGGCAAGGGGCGTCGGGAGGCTGCAGCGGCAGGCGAGTCGGCCCGCCGTGCAGTGGTTCTCGCCGCAGGACCGGAAGCGCTTCTTCAGCAGCAGCCCCAGCAGCGGCGAGCCGTCGCAGTCTGTCACTTCCGACGACCCGGACGACCCAGACTTCCCCGGCAGCCCGGTGAGCCGGCGGCGGAGACGTACCGGTGGCCGCGGCGCCCGGGGCGGGCGGACCCAGCCAGCCAGCCCGAGACGCCAGGGGCTGCGGGCCCGGCCCCCGCTGAAGTGCAGCACCCCGTGCGGCCCGCTCCGACCGCAGCCCTTCCCCAGCGGCACCCCGGGCCGCTGGAGCCGCGACCTCAGAGTGTGCGGTCTGCCCCGCGACGATGATGAGCTGGGCACCAGTGCCTCTCTGTTCAGCTCCCCGGCCTCGCCCGATGCGGCCGGCGGCTCCCACCTGCCGCCAGGCTCTCTGGATGGAGCCTCCCTGCCGTACGCCCTAGAAGCAGCTGCGGATGAAGGCAGGTTCTCCCGGATGGCGCGCCCTGCCGGAGCCAGAGTCAGGTCATCTCTTTTTAGCCTTGTGGACCCAGAGACCCCAGAGGACTGCGAGCTTGAGATGGTTAGAAAGAATGTGAAGAGGCCCTGTTTTGGAAGGCGGCAGACTGAAAGCAAGCTAAAGGGCCCGCCTCCGGCAAGCACAACAGAGAGGACCGCGAGCCAGGACTCTGTCCAAATGGTCGTGTTTCAAGGGTACGACCAGGCAGACCCCGAAGAGGCCAGTGCCTGCAAAAGCTCTGTAGCGGGGACAAGCAGCAGGCCTAAGAGAACTGGGCTAAGCCAGAAGAGGAAACGTCAGGAAGCAGTGGAAACCTCTGCCCTCCGCGACCACCAGTCTAAGAAGGGGAAACAGTCATTCCCCTCCCAGGACCTGACTCGTTTACAGAAAGCCTGTTCTTGGAACAAAACCAGAGCCTCTTTCAGTTTCCACAAGAAGAAAATTATAACTGATGTGTCAGAAGTATGCAGCAGCTACACCATTGCCACTTCTCTCTCTGAGTCCCGCCTGTCGGAATATTCATCCGCTCCAATCATGAACAGAACAAACAGTGCCCAGTCTTCTTGGCGGTCCTCTTGTATATATTTGCTGAGCCCCTTAAAGACTCTGCATGTCACAGACAAAAAGGCATCTGATGCTGAAAAGGTCTATGGGGAATGCAATCAGGAAGGACCTGTCCCATTTAGCCATTGCCTTTCCACAGAAAAACTGAAACACTGTGAGAAGATTGGGGAGGGGGTGTTTGGTGAAGTGTATCAAACAATTACTGATCAAATGCCTGTAGCCTTAAAAATCATTGCTATTGAAGGGCGAGATTTAGTCAATGGATCCCATCAAAAAACCTTCGAGGAAATCCTGCCGGAGATCATCATCTCCAAAGAGCTGAGCCTCTTGTCTGATGAGGTGTACAACCGCACAGAAGGCTTTATTGGGCTGAACTCAGTACACTGCGTTCAAGGGTCTTACCCTCCCTTGCTCCTCAAAGCCTGGGATCACTTTAACTCAACCAAAGGGTCTTCCAATGACAGGCCTGACTTTTTTCAGGAAGACCAGCTCTTTATTATACTAGAATTTGAGTTTGGTGGGATTGACTTAGAGCAAATGAAGACCAAGTTGGCCTCTGTGGCTACTGCAAAAAGCATTCTACACCAGATCACAGCATCCCTGGCAGTGGCTGAGGCATCGCTGCACTTTGAGCACCGGGACTTACACTGGGGGAATGTGCTCTTAAAGAAAACCAACCTCAGAGAGCTGCACTACACCCTCAATGGGAAGACAAACAGCATTCCCACCCAGGGCCTGCAAGTCAACATCATTGACTACACCTTGTCACGCTTGGAGCGGGATGGCATTGTGATTTTCTGTGATATTTCCTCCGAAGAGGACCTATTTACAGGTGATGGTGACTACCAGTTTGAAATCTACAGGCTCATGAGGAAGGAGAACGGAAACTGCTGGGGTGAATATCACCCTTATAATAATGTGCTCTGGTTACATTACCTCACAGACAAGATTCTAAATCAGATGCGCTTTAAGACTAAATGTCACACCACTGCCATGAAACAAGTAAAGAAAAAGCTCCAGCATTTCCATAAGACGGTACTAAACTTCAGCTCTGCCACTGACCTGCTCTGCCATCACAGCCTATTTAAATAAGCCAGGTGGAGCCTACTGTCAACCTGAGTGGGCACTGGCCTGGAAGCCTCTGGTACTGTTTTTAACCTCTACTCCTAGAGCAGGATGGCAGTAGAGAGGCCATTAAATGTTTCCAGTCAGCTTTTTAAGAAAGATTGTTGTTTTCAAAAGGTAACTGAAATGTTCGTTGAAATGATTAAACCTGCTGTTAACAAATGTTCTTAAAAATAAACTACACATGAGGACATGTGTGGACACATATAAGTCCCCCTAATAATGTCAGCAGAGTGTACCCTGTAAGTCTGATATTTCCATTTTTAAGCCTTGACACCTGGTGTAGATGGAGTGAAATCCGTAATCAGAAGAGCCCAGGCCTCTGGCGCTGCTTCACCTGACACTTGAGGTATTGAGGCTGGTTTTGGAAGCCAGACTTCAGATGAGTAATTTACTGAAAGCAGAGTGGGTGGGGCAGAGCAGAAGAAAGGTGAAAAGAGAGGGTGTGCACGTGCATGGGGAGTGTGGGAAGTGGCACGTGTTCATCAAGTTCACACGCCAAAACAAGCAGAATTTACGATTTCAGATGGTAAAATAAATGTCTCCATGGCTACTGAAAATGTTTGCTTTTTTTTGCTAATTTTCATTGAAGAAAGGGAAACAAATTCTGCTTTAAGATCTTAGTGGTTAATTTTCCTTTTGAATGTTGCTCCTAATGTTTTCCCAAAGCTAGTCTTGTTTCTGCTAAAGCTCTGGCTGTTTGTTGTTTTGGTTTGGTTTGGTTTGGTTTGGTTTGAAACTTTTTAAAGCATCTTGGTTTGTATGCAGGTGCACAAGTGTATGTATTCGTAGTGTATGAGGCCAGAGGACAACCTCAGGTGTCATCCTCAGGAACAACATCCATCTTTGAGATAAGAATCTCTCATTAGCCTGGGGCACAACAATTAAACTAGATTGGCCACCCTGGGAGCCTCTGGAATCCTCCTTCCTGTCTTCATTTCCCTAGTGCTTGTTACAAGCCTGTGCCACCACAACCAGCATTTTTCATGGGTTCTGGGATCAAACTTGAGCTTGCAAGGTAAGCGTTTTACTGACAGCCATCCCCTAGCCCTTGGTTTTGAGGTACTAAGAACTGATCCAGGGCTTTATGCATGATAAGCAAGCATTCCATCACTAAGCGAAATCCCCAGGCCCCTTTATTTTGAGACACAATCTCACTTAAGTCCAGGCTGGTCTTGAATTTACTCTGAAGCCAACTTGTGAACCTCTCACATCAGCCTCCCGAATAGCTGGGACAATAGGCCTCTGCCACCGGGCCTGACTAAAGCTCTAGTTTTTACACCTTTGAGAATCCATAGTCATTCTGGAAAGAGAAAGATGATTTTTTTTTTTTTTTTAAATCTCATCTAAGTACCTGACTCCTTGTCACATTCTTCACGCTTACAATCTGGAGCGCTCCTAATTTGATTGGGACACAAATTTGCAACTGGAATAGAGCTCCAAAGAGATTTTCCCCATGAACCTGCCAGATAAAATCAGAACAGGAAATCAGAGCTCACGTTGCTTTGCCAGCTGTAGCTTTGCAATAAACACTAAGCACTTACATTGAAAAGGAATTCTTTGTGGTCTGAAAGCCCCCGGCTTGTGTTCATGTACATCACTGATGGTCTGCAATGACAGGGCATGTTAGGATACTTTCTCATTTTGAATGGACATGAATGCTGATAACTGGATGCACTAGGACAGACAGCAGCGAATCTTAAGAGGAATCCTAACTGCATGCTGTGCAGTCAGACTCTGCGGAGTGGCCTTGCTTCTCTCCTGTTTGTGTGTACATGTGTATGTGGGTGCACTCACCTGGGTGTGCTTGCAGAGGCCAGAGGTTGACATCAGGTCTACCTTGTTTTATTGATACAATCTCTCACTGAACCTGGACCTTGTCATTTCAGCTAGACTGGCTGGCCAGCAAGCTCCCAGGATCCACCTGTGTCTACCCATCCCAAGTACTGAGGTTACAAGTGGGCACCGCAGCACCTGATTTATATGTGAGTGCTGGGAATCCAAACTCAGACCCTCATGCTTGTGTGGTGATTAACCACTGAGCCATCTTCCCAGCCCCTCTCCAACTCTTCCCAATTCCACAGCCCCTCTCTTCCCTTCTATAGTATCACACTGACTCCCTTTTGTAGCAAAACCAGTTAGCACTGGTTCTTTTGAATGACCACTATGGTGTTTCAAAAACCCAATCATTAGTATCAAAGAGAGCCCGGGTTCTAAGCAGCCTCCTTTCAAAGAAGGGCATTCATTGCTCATCCATCCTGACGGTCACTTCTGTCCGAGACAAAAAACCCAAAGCTGTACTTTCTGCATGCCAGTGTCACAGGTGTTGGCCCCTGGGGAGTACTTACCTGGAGAGAACTGCAATGAAGGCATGCCTGAATTGAAGCCTGTGGGTGTCTCTGGCCAAAGACTTGTCATTGGAACTGGGAATAAGAATGTTAGTTCACAGCACAACTGTTTTGTTACCTTCACTTAGAAGCCCACACAGAGGAATGTTGGTTTTTAAGAGGATTTCTCAGCTTCAACACTTGACATTTGGAGCCAGAGAATTCTGTTACTGACTTATCCTCTGCATTGTACCATGGTTGTAGCCTCTGTGGTCTCTCTCCACTAGAAGCCTGGAGCGCCTTCTAGTTCATGGCAATCATAAATGTCTCCACACGTTGCCTGAGCAGAATTTCCCTTCCCAGCACCATATGCTCCCTACCTTTAAACATGGAGGCTTTGCAGTTAAACATCAGTTAAATAGGTCAGAACTAAGGCTCTAGTTCAAAAACTCATTCCCCCAGAGTATGCCCTAATCTTGTGTGAATAAAAATACTTTAAATTTCTGGTAAGAGTCACAACAGAGGCCTTGTGTGGGCTCAGTAAAGTTCCCTTTCTGGGCAGGGAGGGGCCACAGCGCTCACAGCATGTACCTGAGGGGTTTCTCCCAGGCTGGAGCCTGAGTGCTAATACAGTCACTACTTACTTGGAGATGGTCACAGTGATGTCTGCTGTCCTATTTGGGAAGATACTCTCCTCTAGCTGCCAGACAACTGAGACATTTGCCTGTTTTAAAGGGGGACATAAAAGAGTAAGTGAAAATGGTCATTGGATGGCTGCCTTATTAACTCGATCCAAACTACTTTATACTGACTAAGCAGCACTAGGACACCCGGTTTACATGCCTCCAGGTTACATTCCTCACATTTTTGGTAGCACAGTATATTTCCACAGCCACTATTTCATGTGTGCCTCACAATACAAGCGTGGAGTGAGCCAGGTAGATCATTCCCCTTCTGCAACTGAGGAAACCGCAGCAGAGATTTCCCACAGTACAAAGAAAATAGGTCTGATGTGCATACTGTGCCCACGTCCCTCTGCTTTCTACAGGGAAGCCAACGCTGCCTATGCCCTACAGTGGAAATTAATCTCTGCATTCCCACCAATACTCTTCAGAGCAGCCTTGGCAGTTCTAAAGCACTGCTATGCATTGACTATAGCAAAGGGAAGCAGAGAGACCACAACTGGAAGATGCAAATGAGTGGGAACTCCAGGGTAGTGAGAGGAACCAGCCAAAGATAGACTCACAGATGATCTCTTGAGTATGGGGTGACCAATCTTGCAGTTCATGAGCACGGCAGAAACAACTGGTTTAGGGTCATCACACTGAATGTCTGGAGAGGAAGGCTGTCAACACAGAAGGGGATGCTTTTCTTGAGCAAAAGAACAGTTTCCTTGTACCAATTCACTGATTTTTTTACATGTCATGCTGCCAGGAGCTGGGGACACAAGCCACACTTGGTCCCTGGCCTCCTCACATCTGAGAGTTGGGTATAAATACAAAGCCTAAGGGATGGTTCAGTGAGAGGAAATGAGCAGTAGAGAGACTGGTTCCAGCTAGCAGGACTGTGAAGTCCGAATGAGGAAGGAGGCATTGGAACTGGGCTGTGGACCAGTGCAAGTGTCACTCTGAGATGGAGGAGAAGGTCTGCATGGGCTCAAGCCCTGCCATGTGACTTTCCAACCAGGGCTCCTCATCTAGACTACAAATACAGAAAATGGTTTCCCCACAAATAGTCTCATCACTAGTTCCATTCTACATACATAGGAGAGAATTTCATTTTTTCACACAGTGGATGCTAATTTAGGCCAAACTGCCCTTTGGGGTGTCCTCACCCAACAAAGGAAAATGCAGAGCTATTAGAGGATTCTAGGGGTGGGAGATCAAGATTAAAGTGAAATGTAAACAGAACAGTTCAGATAGCCTCAAAGCAGGGCAGAGGAAAGGAATCAGTTAGTGCCAGCTACAATTTGGTCCCTATTAATATGCATGTGGAATGCAGCTCTATCTCAGCTAGATATTGTATCTACTGTGTCAAAGTGACTTAGATTCTCAGACAAGAGTGAGATGGTATCCTTCTTGATATAACATCAAACACCAAAGTTTCTGACCATCTTTGAAATAAGAGAACAAAACTTTTCGGCGATCTGACACTTTAGCTACATGTTTCCTAATGTCTTCTCACCTGACTGTGTCTGTGATCCCTGCCAGGTGAACAGCAGGGCAGAATTTTTACTTCTCAATGCCTAAGCTCATAAGCTTATCTCTTATCTCTCACAGTCCTGGCTAAGAAAGGTTGCAGTCAGGGTTGGGGGAATATGTAGAGAAACGGTGCCACAGAAGGGTTTTAGGGCATATGCATTGGACTGGAGAGGATTCATCTCATTGCTATTCGAGTGCTGGCAGAGCAGGAGGCTTCCACAGAAAAGCAGATGGGCCACAAGGGAAAGCCACGAGCTGCATGTTTCCCAAGCTGCTGCCATAGTTACCTTCTGTATCCTCTTAAACTGTAAGTTTATAGGGTAATTCAGAGCCATGTTTGTCATATAGGAATCTTCCCCAGAGTTAGTTAGGCTGATGTTCACGGTCAGTTCTTTTGTGACACCCACCACCAGGTCCTGCCTGTGCAAGGTAAAAAGAAATGTTGCCGATTTATTAAATCTGTAAATACTTCCAAACTACAGAAGAGCACATTCTCAACTAGCTTCTGAAATAACATGCCTAAAGGTCTAGATTTTCTTTTAACACAACCAGATGCGGGTCCACCTTCAGTGGTGTGTGAGATTATAGTGGCTACCATTTACTTAGTGACTACCATGTGTCAAACACCATACCTCCTGTACTCAATTAATCCTCAGAATTACCCTACAAAGTAGTATAATCACTTTCTGTTTTGAAGAAGAGGAAACAGAAAGCAAGAGACCCCTTTTCCCAAGTCTAAAAGCCTCCAAAGAAAGTTGAGGATCCAAATCCGCTTTCTACCATGGTGACCTTCAGCAAGATCTTTCATGACATAAACCCATCTATTTCATAAATATTTATGGAGTACTGTAGACACACCAGCTGCTCCCCTGCAGTCAGCAGAGAGTAAAGCACCCCTTTTTTTTTTAGCTCAGTTTTCCCACACACAAAATCACTCAGGCCCCTCCAATCAAAATCCTACAGTTAGCCAGGGCTGCAGCTCAGTTGGTACAGTGCTTGCCTAGGGCTCAAAGGCCTCAGTCAGATCCCCAGCACGACATAAACCAGGCATGGTGACACATACACCTATAATACTAGCACTCAGGAGGTAGAGGCAAGAAGATCAGAAGTTCAGGGTCAACCTTTGTTACATAGTGAGTTTGAGGCCAGCCTGGGCCACATGAGAGACCCTGCCTTAAAAAAAAAAAAGAGTATAGCTTAGAAAAGATTTAGGGGTACATGTGAGTGAACACTTCTACAATACTGAGGAATTTGGGGGCCCTAGACTGCATAGACTTTAATCATTGAAATCTATAAAACAATGTGGTTAACAAAACAAAAAATTATTATTGTGTGTGTAAGAGAGTGCAGGCATGCCACAGCATGTGCACGGAGGTCAGAGGACTCTCAGGTAGGTTCTGGGGATTGAACTCATGTCATCAGGCTTTCATGGCAAGTGCTTTTATCTACTGAACCATCTCATCAGCCCTATTGTTTTTTGAGACAGGGTTTCACTTGACCTGGAACTCACTATACTGTAGCCAAGGCTGAATTCAAACTTATGATCCTCTTGCCTCAGCCCCCTGACTGCTGGGATTACAGGTGTGTATCGCCACATTCTGCAAGAAAAATTTTCAGCTATCTGAAATGTCCAAAGGTGGAATGTGCAGATCTGGGAAGTAATGTGGTGTATGTTTGGTATTGTTCTGGTTTTCATTTTATCACAGCTGAGAAAAGATGGGTTGATGAAAGTGAAAATAATGGGCTGCCACCATGGTTCAGCAGGTAAAGGCGCTTATCGTCAAACCTGACAACCTGAGTCTGATCTGGGGCCCATATGGTAGGAGAGAACAGACTCCTGCAAGTGTCTCCCCACACACAGGCTGTGGCATGCACGGACCCACACATACACATATGCACATACAAATAAATATAATTAAAATAATTTAAAATAATAAGAGGCAAAGACAGAGTCTGCTGTGGAAATTCATCTGAGTGATGATACACACCTGAAATAAGACAACAGAGCAGGGGCGGTGGGTCACACCTGCCATCCCAGCACTTGGGAGGTGAGGTGGAGAAAGCATCGCTGCATATTCAAAGCCAGGTCGAGCTACAGAACAAGACCTTGTCTCAAACAAAGGCAAACAGTAGTAGTAATAGTAGTAATAGTAGTAGTAGTAGTAGTAGTAGTAGTAGTAGTAGTAGTAGTAGTAGTAGTAGTAGTAGTAGTAGTAGTAGTAGTAGTAGTAGTAGTAGTAGTAGTAGTAGTAGTAGTAGTAGTAGTAGTAGTAGTAGTAGTAGTAGTAGTAGTAGTAGTAGTAGTAGTAGTAGTAGTAGTAGTAGTAGTAGTAGTAGTAGTAGTAGTAGTAGTAGTAGTAGTAGTAGTAGTAGTAGTAGTAGTAGTAGTAGTAGTAGTAGTAGTAGTAGTAGTAGTAGTAGTGGATATCTCATAGTATTATTCACACAGGAGGGAAACCCTAGGACAGAGGAAGATGAGGAAGATGAATTCTGTCTGGGACATGAACAGAGTTCTTACAGACTAGCAAGGTAGAGATGCACAATGTCTGTTGGTTATACTACCCAGGAGATCTGAGTGTTGTCAAAATACTTAACAAGGTTCTTAACCTGAGATAGAGGGACAGTTTCTGGAGGTCTGGAATGTAAGTAAGCATTTATGTCTTCGAGGATGAAGGGTCTGTAGTTTGGGGTTTTGTTTTGGGTTGTTTTGGGGGATAGGGAGTTGAGACAGGGTCTTTTGTAGCTCAGGCTGACCTCAAAATGTCTATGGAGCCAATACTGGCTTTCAACTCCTGATCTTCCTGTTTCTACCTCCCAAGTGCTGGGCTCACAGGTATGTACACCTGGTTCTTTCTTTCCTTCTTTTTTTCAGTACTAAATATTGAACTTAGGGCCTCATGCATTCTAGATATAAGCTTTACCATTGAGCTACATCCCCAGCTCATTATGGTTGGTTGATTGATTTGTTGGTTAGTTTTTGAGACAGACTATCACTCCATTGTCCAAGCTAGCCTGGAACTCACCATGTAGCCCAGGCTGACCTCAAACTTGAGACAGTCCCTCTGTCTCAGCCTCCCAAGTGTTGGGATTATAGATATGAACCAACATCCCTGGATATCTCACTACATAGTCCAGGCAAGAGAGTCTGTAGTTCTGATGAGACTTTTTAGGCTATCAATGTCTGCAGAAAAGTAAAAAACCACTACAACCCTGAACACTATTGGGCTCAGGAGTAGCTTCCTAGCTATGTACACTAGGTGGCGATGCACGGCAAGATGAGCTTGCTGCATCTGCTTCACAAGGAACTGACTGGGAGGTAGTTCCTGGCTGTCATTCATTCCCTGTTGGGAACAGCTGTGTCTGCTTGTTAGGCTTCGTTCCAAAGCACTCAAGGCCTTGAATTGGTTCCTTAGTGCTGCGCCACACTAATCATTCACATCTGAAATCAAGTCCTACAAATGACTACCATAGGCCAAGCATTCCTGGAAAAGATCCAGACAACTGGCCATGAGTAACATGACACCCAGCACTAGTAGCCAGGGAGGACATTTTAAGACCACCACAGGTCCAAAACCAAACTCATGATCTTAGTTCAACTCATCTGGGGAGCTGGATTCAGGGTATTGCAATAGAATATTTGCAGTGATAGAGAAGTGGTCCACATCTGTGCTGTCTGATATAATTAACTGTATGAAGGTGTTCAGTATTTGAAATATGGCAGGTGTCACTAAACTACATCTTTAGTTGTATTTCAATATAATGACTAAAATTAAACAGCTAAGTGTGACTAGTGACAAGTGTGTTGGATGATGCAGTTGTAGATGCTCAGGCTGTGAGCCCTCTCCTCATTCCCTACATGCACTATCAGCAAATCTTAGGACTCTAATTTCAAAAGGTAACCACTAACTTTGCTGTCACCCAGGCTAAGCCACATCCTCTCACCTGTACCTGCACTGTCCCAGTAGTAATTACCTTCTCCTACAGTTCATACTCAACACACCAGCAAGAAATAGAATGTTAAATGTGCGACCAGGAACTGGAGAGATGGCTCAGTGGTTATAAGAGCACTGGCTGCTCTTGCAGAGGACCCAGGTTTGGTTCCCAGCACCCACATGGTGACTAACAATTGTCTGTAACTCCAGTTTCAGAGGATCCAGTACCCTCTTCTTGCTTCTGTGGGCATTGCATATATGAGGTACACCTATATACATGCAGGCAAAACACTCATACAAATAAAAATAAATAAGAGAAGTTTTTAAAACATTTTTTTAAAATATGAGATTATGTCACTCATCTGGCATCCCAGATCACAGTGAAAGCCCTTCTGAGGCCCTATGAGGAACCCTTAGACCTCTGCTCACCCATCTGCATCCACACAGGACCCTTGCTCTACCTCCCACCTGCCAGGAATGCTTCCATCAGGGCATCTGCTCCACCCTCAGATCTGACCACTCTGTTTAAAACTTTGCTTCTCCACTCTCTGCCTGACTTTTCTTTGTACTAGATATCCCATCAACCTAGGGATTAGTTATCTATTGTTTTCCTTTTTTTTTTTTGGTCTTTTTGGGACAGGGTTTCCTTGTAGCCCCAGCTGGCCTTGAACTCACAGAGATCCACCTGCCTCTGCCTCCCAAGTGCTGGGATTAAAGGCGTGCACCACCATGTTTTCACATTTTTTAATCTGTGTTATTCACTGAAGTTTTTCTCAGTACTAGTGCCTGGAACAGAGTACATACTCCAGAAATACTCCATGGATTAGCGCATAAATTTGGCCCACAGGTGTACCAGAGAAGTAGTCCTAGGAATGAGGATCACTGTGAACATAACATTGTCCATGGCGTCAGGAGACCTGGGTTCATGTTTGCCAAATGACTACTGGGACTCTACGAAAGGCTTCAACTACTGATATGTTTCCTGATCTATAAAATGGGAAGACAAATCTCTGTCTTGCCTCCCTCAGAAGGTGGCTGAAATAGCAAATGCAAAAGCCTATTGAGAGCCCTGAGGAAGGGGAAGGGAGTGTGCCCACATGAACCTTTAGAAGGAAACCAACCACAGAAACTACAGTGACGATGACAAGATCCAACTCACTGAGAGATGGTGGTGGCCAGCTGGATCTCAGGGGTGCAGAACAGCTTATTTTTGCAGTCCTTCTCATAGGGAAGCTGTAAGCAAAGAAAGAGGGAGCAGGGTCAGCCCAGAGACCCCACCTTCTCCAGCAGCCCTGACTCTCCTTAAGGACACTTCTGTCCATCTTGTCCTCCTGCTTAGAGAAGTACAGTGAGAGGAAAGTAAAGACTGGCAGTGGGGACTGTGTCCACACAGCCAAGAGAGCTGTGTGTGACATTCCTACACAACATGGGCACACCATCAGGACCTCTAGCCAAGCTCAAAGATGGGTGAGATTTGCTGATCAAGAGACATGTCTGACCTGTTCCTGTCATGCACTGAGCACTAACACTCACAAGCAGCTCTCTACTTCTAACATCTGGGGAGGAAAACCTTTGTGAAGGAAAGCTTCCTAGCCCTTTCATATAGGCAGAAACAGTTGGGGCAGGAATAGGGCCACCTGACCAAGTAATGTCAGGTGAAATCCTTGGCAGTATCTCACCCCACCCCCACCATGACCTTTGTAATTTTGCCTACATATCACAAACCAAATCAGAAAGTCACATTTGCTTATAATTCTAGCACTGGGATACTGAGGCAGGTTCATGAGTTTGAGGCCCTGACTACATAGCAAGACCTTGTCTAGAAAAGTGAAAAAGAAAAGGAAAAGCCACATTTGTCTCAGAAGTTCTCTTCAAGCCCCAGTTTGAGTTGAAAACTCAAATTTGCTAAAGTAGCCAAGTTTTTGGCTTTTTTGTTTTTATTTTGCAATGAAGGAAACAGTCAACTCCTTAGTTTTACTTCTGTGATAAACCTGCCAAAAATTCACAGCCTGCATCTAAACATAGGAAGCATCAGAAAAACCCAATGAAGGAACAGTCCATAAAATGACTATCTTGTGCCCTTCAAAACTGTGAAGGTTATCTGAGACAAGGAGATGCACTGGGTATGGTGTCACAAGCCTATAATCTCAGCAGTTGGAAGGTTGAAGGAGGAAGATCAGGAGTTCAAGGTCATCCTTGGTTACATAGGGAGTTTGAAGCCAGTCTAGGCTGCATGAGACCCTGTCTCAAAAATAAAGACAAAGAAAAGCATAAATCAATCATTCCAACTTAAAAGTGACTAAGATAAATTACAATTAAATTCGATGAAAGCTCCTAGAACTTTTTTTTTCTTTTTTTAAGAAAAGATTTCATGTAGCTCAGGTTGGCCTTGAGCTCACCTTTCAGCCAAGGATGACCTTGAACTTCTGTTCCTCTAGACTCTACCTCTAAGTGCTGGGATTACAGCCATGTGATGCACCAGGCCCAGCTTGATTTGGTGCTAGGGATGAACACAAGGCTTCATACATCCTAAGCAGGCATTCTACCCAACTGTCCTACACCACCCTCAGCTACCCTATCAAGGAAGAGCCCCAGCATACAGTGTGTCTGTGCTTCACTAAATATGTTGGGAGCACATTTTGTGAATGAGCCAGGGGTGATGGCTGGAGATCTGTTACCAATGAGCAATGAACACACCTTCTTAGGGAGTCCACGTCCCCACTGACACAGCCTGACGACCCTCCCTCCCAACTCTAGTCTTCTTTGAAGTTAAGGGAACAGTACTTTTTGTGGGATGATCCCAGGAGGGTTGGGTCCTTCCTGTGAGCAGAGTCACCTGGAAGATAGCAGAGGGCTCGATGTAGCGGTCCAGGATGGGGTTAGGGTGGCCCCTCCTTCCCTCAGGTGTCTGGAGCTGGTAGCTGACCTTGACAGTGATGTTAGAGAAGCAGTCCTCCTCACAGAGCTGTGGGTTGTCATGGGAGCAGAGGAGGAGTCAGATGTGGAGAAGAAGAAGAATACTTTTAACCCCAATGTAGTGTTAAGAAATAAACAATGGGGGCTGGAGAGATGGCTCAGCAGTTAAGAGCACTGGCTACTTTTACAGAGGACCCAGGTTCAGTTCCCAACAGCCACATGGCATCTAACAAGCATATAAAACTCGGTTTCAGGGGATCCAACACCCTCTTCTGGCCTCCTCGTGCTTTGCATGACACAGGTACACATACGTACATGTAGGCAAAACACTTATACACATAAAATAAAAAGAAATAAAAAATTTTAAAAAGAAATAAAACAATACAATGATGAACCAGAAGTCTTCCAAAGGAGCCAGGCTGAGGGGAAACGTCCCTCAAGCCAGCTGCCAAGAACTTTGGAAAAGTGTCCCTGGATCTGCTCCAGTCTTGGGTATCAGGGTGCTTTATGGTTCTAACCTCAATCACAAAGGGTCTCTGGCTTGGCCTTTGTGTGGAGGGCACATGGGGGCCATGGAGGGAAGAGCCACAGCCACATTTAAGTTTACAAAGATCTTTCTCCAAGCAGCATGGAGGGATATTTGAGAGCTAAGAACTGAAAGTAGAGCCTGCCTGCCAGAATAAGAGCTTTGAACATGAGAGCAAGTGAGCTCAGCTGCCTGGTGAAAATGTGGCTACATTTTTATTAGAGAGCTGTGATATGCTAGAAACCCTTTCTTAAGTAGCAAGCACCTTGGGAGCAGGTATGTAGTCAGAACAGAATTCACAAGTTTGCTTATTGAAATAAATGGTCCATATAGGTCCAAAGTTCTAGGTCCTGTTAAGCTCTGAGTTCTGACAAGGACATTAAAAAAAAAAAATCCCTGAGTATTTACCAAGAGAAAAAAATTTAAAATAACTTCTTTCTAGTTCTGTCCTTTAATTGTTCAATTTTTCTCACATGGATTCAAGGGCTGCAGCCCGTAGTTACTGTAAAGTAATATCACAAGAAATCTAGCTTCCAGGAAGCTCAGAGATGCGGTCAGTGCTCGATTTGGGTAGATTTCCTTCGCTCTCTCCTTCCCTTTCTCCCTGCTTTCCTTTCTCTGTTCCTTCCTTTCCAGTGGACCAAACTCAGGGCCTCACACATGCAAAGCATGCACTGTACCACTGAGCCACACCCATAGTCCAACTTTCTTAAGCTTGGCTTTCTGGCAGGATTAGCTACATCTCCGGTACTGGTGCATGGTTCTTGACGTGTCATGATTGCTTCAGTCCCCTCATGTGCATGTGTGGATTCTGTATTGCACAGATATTTTCTCTGGGTTGTTGTCTAAATTCTTCTACTTACCTCTCCCTCTGTGGGGATGAGCGAGAGGCGTTCACACAGAGAAGACCCATCGCTCCACTCACTAAGGTGGTTCGGACAATAGCTCATGTTAGCACACTGCAGCCTCTTCCTCTGCTTCGTCACATCCACATCCACTGTGTAGTTGAGCCACATGCCTCTGAGGCCTGGAGTTGAAGACCATACCTTCTGACAAGGCTAGGAGGGGCAAGGCCCACACAGAGAGCCCCAGCCTACTGAGGCTGTGAGCCTCTCCTGAACGGTGCCCCATGTGGGCACTTCCCTGGACCAAACTCCAGGTTCCTCATCATTCTGAAGGTGAATATTTTCACTGCTGCTGGTACCTGTTCAGGGTCTGTCAGTGTTCTGGTCCCATGCCCAGCACAGCACATTCCTAGGACTGAGTCCAGCCTTTCTTAGAGAAAGTGGGATTTGACAGGAGAGTGAGATGGAAGGAGGGAAAAAAGGAGGAAGAGGATGAGAAAGACAGTAAATGGAGAGAGAAATCATGAAGTCTGAGCACAGCAGGCCTGGAAACATCTTGGAGATTACTGGGCCAACTCTTACTGTACAAAACAGAAATCAGGGCCCTGTGAGGGAAAGACAGCCTACCCAGCGTCCACCAGCCCTCATCAGGCTCTGTGACCTGAAAGTAGTTAAGTCTATTCTTTGTTCTTTTCTTTCCCTTTTCTTTTCTCTTCTGTTTTGAAACAGGGTCTCATGTATCCCAGGCTAGCCTTGAAGTTAATATATAGCTGAGGAAAACACCTGATCCTCTACCTACCTCCCAAGTGCTGGCATAGAGGCTTGCACTGCCATGCCCAGCTAGGTCTGTCATTTTCTAGGGGGTTCATCATGACCCTAACCCAAGAAGAGTGCTCTGTGACTTGCAAGGAGCCATCTCTAGGATTATTCATGAGGTTTAAACCTTGAGGACTTGGTGAGAGATTGCTGGAAGGGAGCTCTTGGCTGTGGACACCGGGGCTGTGACAGTCATTCCCCCTCCACCCCCTTTCTGAAAACATTCCCCCAGAGTGTCAGGTAAGGGGTAGAAGAGAGACAAGGCCTTCCTCTCTGTAGGTTCTCCAGTCCCACCTCGGTCAGGGAAGGGGAGAAGGCGTAAGTCATGGACAGAGGGAGGCTTTCTGGGAGTCCTGCACATGCACAAGTGGGGGACGGCAGGTGGAGATCGAGCAACTGTTGCCTTTCCAAATATCCTCTCAGAAGCCCCTCACTCTCCCCAACAGCTTCCTGGGGCAAGTGCATTTAACAGAACCTAATGACAGCGGTACTAGGCTTCTGGAGAGAGAGCTGAGGTATCAGGACCATCCCAGCCTCCACTTCGTGCCCACAAGCCAGTCAGGAATGACAACCCCAGGGCACCCACCAGGCTGCCTTACTTGGTTCACCCAATGAGCTTGAGGAGTCGAATTCAAAACACAGATCTACATCCATGCTGCCATTGAAGCCGATGGGCAGAGCAGTGGGGGTGAAGGTCATGGACACCTTCAGGTGAACCACGGGCCGTGAGCTACACAAGACAGCAAAGAGGCTCATGAGAAGCGAGCACAGGACTTCTAGACAGATTCTGCTGCACTCAGATCTCCAACATGCAGGGGTGCTCCGAGTCCTTGGGATATATTAATAGTAGGAAAAGAGATAGGCAGACAACCAGCAAATAAACAAAAATGGACAACTACTAGGTACTGGTGATGATAAAAATGTAAGTGAATAAGGTGATAGAAATGGAGGCTCCTTAGATCAGGTGGTCAGGACAGTCTCTGTAATAAGGAGCCCTTAAACATGAGTGCTTTTAATGAGAAAAAGGCAGCTATGTAAAGATCTAAGGGGAAAGCATTCTAGGCAGAAAACACAGTTAATACAAAGTGCCTATGGCAGGAATGAGCTGGGTTTGTTTGAGGAACAAAAAGATCAGAGTGACCAGAGCCTGAATGAAACAAAGTGGCAGTAGGATGTGGAGATGGGGAAGTGGGCGAGATCAGCTACAGACAGCCCCGGAGGGCCTGGCAAAGAACTGGGATTTTACTCAGATGGGAGTCACTGAGGGGTTTAAGCAGTGGAGTAGAGGGATCATGCAGCTGCCATGTGGAGGACAGATGACATGGAGAGGGCACAGGAAAGTCTGTGTGGCATTAGTCCTGGAAGAGTAGAAAGCCTGCTGTACTGGGAGGTGTTATGGAGTCAGCACCAACAAAAACTTGTAGAACAAAGAGGAAGGCTACAGAGGATAAAAATCCCCTGTAGCCCAAGTGGGCCTTGAACTCATGATCCTCCTGCCTCAGCCTCCTAAGTAGCTGAGATTACAGGCCTGTTGCACCAGGGTTTTGTCTTGAACGTCTAGGTGGATGATGGTGGCATTTGTTGAGACAGAAAACCTGGGAGAGGGGTGGATCGGGGAATGGAAGATGGGTATGAATAAGAGCTCTGTTCAGAGATCTGTTCAGTTGGAGATGGCCCTGAGCAGCCATGAAGAGTGCTGCTGAGCAGATGGCAGGTGGGGAACTCTCTGGAGAGGGCAGGGACTCTGCCAGCTTACTTATAACCATAGGACAAAAACTTGCCTGAAGGTGGAGTCCAGGGATTCTGAAATTCCTTGCAAGCCATCCCTGAGTACTATTTTATACACCTTGCACAGATTCCCTCATGCAATCCTCCCACTGCTGTGAGGCAGGCAATTAGATAAGGAAGTTGGGAATTAGAATTAGATAATCCACACAAAACCATGGAGCAAACCCAGCCAGACAGACCCCAGAACCTGTGCCCTGAAGCTCTACACTTCTCTCCCTTGGTACCTGGCATCTTTAGGTTCCACTGAATGCACATCAAAGGGTAAGACTGGGGCCCGGGGCCCTACAATGCAGGGTAATCCCTTACCAGAGCACAGCTGCCCGGCCCAGGGATCCCACGGAGATATCGGCAAGGCCATCTCCACTGAAATCTAGGCCACCATCCACAGATATGCCAAAGTAATGGAGTCCTGGGGCCACAGAGGAGGCTCTGATCCGCTGCGGAGGGAGAAACACAGGCATAGGGTTGTGGAAGGAGGAGAAAGAGAAGCCCTTTCACCTCCTATTCCCTTCAACATGGTCACCCAGCTTCCCATCCCAGGGAGTCCTCAATCTAGAAACAGAAAATAGATAACAAACTGACATCTGGGTGGATCCCTACAGGACAGGTGGGACTTGATAGAAGAGGCAGAGGGAAAGAACAGGGCACTCTGAGGGAACCACCAAGGGGCCAGTGCAGGGGTGGGGAGGAGTGGAAGAAGGCAAGGGGATCTGAGTGTAAGGAGGCTTGAGATGGGGCTGGGGTGGGGGTGTCAGCAAAGCTCTTTAGAAGTGACCTCATCAGGACCACAGTTCAGAAGTGATCACAGGATCACTGGAGGCACAAGGGGAAGATGGGTTGGAGGTGGGAGCTGGGGTAGTAGGGGAGCCCAAAGGAGGGGTGGTAAGGCCTGAGCTGGTGTTGTGGTGGTGGGGATGGAGACAAGGGGTTGGATTCGGGACAGAGTTAGAATCACTAGGAATGTGACAGCTGTCAGGCTGTGCATTAAGGTGCTAGGGGACTATCCTGGACATTTGGTGGGGAAAGGAAGGGGCATGGGTGCACAGAGGAGTAACAGATCTAGAGGGGGAAGACGTTCCTGACTGAGAAGTATAAAAGAGGCTGGGGACCACCCTGGGGAGGTACTTAGGAGGCAGTTGGATGAGGGGAAGGAAGAGGAGCATGAAAGCGTTTAGTAGAGACAGAAGTCAGAGGAGAGGCAGAGAGGAGGAGACCTGAAATGGGCTGATGGTCAGAAATGCAAAGGAAGAGACAGGTGAGGAAAGGAGGCCGTGCCTTTACCTCCCCTTCCTGAAGGATCTGGAGGAGGCCCTAGCCTGGAACCTCTCCAAGTATGGTAACTTCTTGCCTAAACTGGCACTCTCCTCCCTGCCACCAGAGGTTGGCCCAACATTCAGGACTGGGGCTGCCTCAGGGACCAGCTCATTCTGTCTGGAAGAGGTTTGAAACCCAGTGAGGAAACAGGAAAGAGCCCACAGGATCACCTGGGATGGGCTGGCAGAGAAACTGTCCCTGTGTCCATTGTAGATGTACACGCTGCCAAAGCTGGCCCCATCATCTGCCCCAAAGTCCTCCAGAGGGGCCCCGATGGCCACATCTGTGTATGTATCTTGATTGATATCCCCCACAGCTGCCATGGCAAAGCCAAAGCGGGCATTGGTGAGTCCAAGGTGCCCACTCAGTGTGTGCACCAAGGAGAAGGAACCATCCTGCAAAGTGAAAACAGGCTGCTTAGCCTTCAAGAAAGGTGTTCAGGACAGCTAGAGGGCACACTCCCTTGTTGATTTCAACTCCAGCAGGACTCTAAGGCAAGGGACAAGGGGCCTGAGCCCACAGAAAGGCTGGGGTCTTCCTGTCTTGACGTTCAGGACCCGGAGCCTGTTCCTCTATTCCAACACGATGCTATATTAGCAATAGAGAAGCCTGGGAACCAGTTGAAGCTCTCCCACGTGCTTACTTGGAAAGCTTGGGCAAATCTCAGCATCAGTGTGCCTCACTGAGCCCCAGCCTCCTCATAATGTGACAGCCATTCTCATAGTTATTGTGAGGAATAGGTGAGACCAGAGTGAGTATTCTGTCAACTGGGCAGCTATGACAGCTGCTACCAACAACCGCCCAAGTGAGAAAGGAAGAGAGTAAGGGGATAGCCATCCACCCTGAACACTCTTCCTCACTGCCCACTATTGCCAAGCAGATGTCAGGTCAGGGCTCACCCAACCTCTGCCACCTCTGTAAACAGGCACAGCCTTGACAAGCTCAAGAGGCTCAAGACTCACCCACCTGCTCATGTACTCGGTACACATAGACTCTGCCTTCTTCTCCACGGATGTGGTAAAATGGAGCAGCCACCAGCAGGAAGTCTGTGGTTCCATCCATGTCCACATCCACAGGGCACAGCTCAGAGCCAAAGTAGGACCCCATCTACATCCAGCAGGAACACAGTGCTCCCAAATATGGAATGGGCATCTCTCCACCTCCCACTAAGGCTAGACCCCCTACTTATGCTCTTTCTGGGTCCCCCAGCTGGGGTTGTTCCAGACTAGCCTTCTCATTAGTAAGGAAGTGAGGGGGATTGGGCAAACAGCAGAGTTCTCACAGAGGGGTAAACTTTGGGCAGACAGGAGGGTCACTGAATTCCACCCAGAGCCTTAGCCTTGCCCAGGGTGGAGCCTCCCTTTCCCCAGGTCCCAGAGCTCCTACTGGTGGAAAGGGGGCTTCCCAACAGGTACCTGCTCTCCCTCCACCCGTGGCACAAAGGTGACCTTTCTGTCCTTCTGGAGCTCAAATAGGGCCCCACGGTGCTTATGCCGAGGAGCCCCTGCCACATAGGAGATGCCACAGGCCTTGTGTAGAACTGCCACTGAATAACCTGGAGCCAGGGTGGTGAGACTGCAAACCGGTGCTCCCCACCTCCAGTCACTCCCTTCAACGCCACCTTCCCAGCTAGGCATTCTCACTTCTACAGCACAGCTACATGCGCCAGGATGCGTGTGTGGTACACATTGCCATGTATACAGCTTCACACACACCCCTTTCATCACATGAACATGGTATAGGTGTCCAAGGTCAGGGATGGGGATACTCATTACTGTTATTAATGGAGGTCCCAGTTCTCTTCTATGCAGGCACCCAAGGCCACCCTGTCTCCACCCAGAATTCTCAACCTTAAGGTACCGAACTGAGGTCCCACCCTGTGGGGACCATGACTTCTCCCCACCAGGAATCCTAATGTGCAGACCTACAGGCAACCTGTGTCCCAGACTTCGCCTACTCCCTCATACCATCCCTTCCCTCTACCTAAAGACATAGCTCTTGTCTCGCCCTCAATCTCCAGGACCCGTCCTTGTCCTATCACCATCCAACACCCAGACCCTGCCCTCGCCCAGCCCCCAGCACACAGCCCCTCCTGCATCCTCCCACATTCCTCAAGACCTTCCAATCTCCAGGCTCAGGCCTCTCCCTCTCCCCTATCTCCAAGCCCTGCCCTCACCCTAAATCCATCTGCCCCACCCTTCTCTTACCCAGGTAGCTGTACTGCGTGGGAGCTCGGGAGTCCTCAGCCGTCTGGTTCAGGAAGCAGCCCCGACGACTGTATGTGTCGTAGAGCAACGCGCCCCCCGACCAGTTAAAGGCTCCCACTGCACCAAGCAGCACCTGGCCCTGCAGAAGACCCGAAAGGAAAGACCCAGAGACCAGGCAGAAGTCAGGCGGAAAGGCGAGATGGCAAACACTGACTTACTGTTTGTACCGGAGAGCCCGTGGGGCAACTGTGGCCCTGGAAGCCAACAAGGGACCCAGATGTTGAGTATTAAAAAAAAGTCAAGATCGCTGGGTGTGGTTAAGATATCCCACCTTTAATCCCAGCAAGAGGCAGGTGGATCTCTGTGTGATGGAGGCCAGCCTGGTCTACATAGCAAGTTGCAGGCCATCTGGGACTACAGGGTGACCCTGCCTCAAAAAGATCGATCAATCAATCAATCAATAAAAAAATTTAAAGTATGAATGAAGGGCTACAGAGATGACTCGTGGTTAAGGGCATTTGCTGTTCTTCTAGAGGACCTGGGTTCAGTTCCCAGCACTCACATGGCATCTAACAACTGTCAGTAACTTCAGTTCCAATGGACCTGACGCCCTCTTCTAGCCTCTGTGGGCACTGCACACACGTGGTGCACTTACACACCTTGGTGGGCTTACCATTAAGGCTAAATCTTACTCATATCTGAGAGAATCTCTCAATCCTTTAGCACACAAAATGACCTCCAACAGTAAACACAGCCATTCTTTTGTCTATCTTGGTGGTCCAGATTAGGGAGAGCTAACATTTTTCTGCATCCTAAAATGACTTCTTCAGAAACACCCCAAGAGAGTAAGTGTGAGCCAGGAGCCCCTGAGACCCTGGTGATCACTGAGTATGCTAATGGGGGAGCCTGCCTGTATAGAGTGGGCCACAAACCTTATCCAGGATCTGGGCGCTGAAGCCAGTCTGTGCAAGTTGGTAGTGAAGGGCATCTCCAACTGTGCCTGAAAATCAAGGAATCTGGTGAAACACCCTGTGCCAAAGGGCAGGGAAAGACCATGTGGGAAAGAGGCCAGCTGGGCCAGGCCCCTAGAGGGTGGGTATTTGCTGTAACAGGAAGAGCACTGGGCTGAGAGCAGAGATCTGGGTCCTGCTTTAGCAAATACTGGCTGGCTAGGCCTGGGAAGTTCATTCTTTCTTCCTGGAGCTCAGTTTCCTCATCTGTAAACTCCTGAGGGAAGGAGCTATGTCCCAGTCATCTTTGTTTCTCCAGCGCCAGTTCAGCAGAGCTTCATAGATTCTGGGAGGCAAGGAGGACTAGGGGTATCATTGCCTTTTTAAAGATGAAGAGCTGTGGCTCAGGGAGGTGGTGCAAATGGGGCAGCAGGGCAGGGGGGCGGTTGGAGCAGGTGCTGGGTGTCCTGCTGAATGTTGAGGGGCTCTTGCAGGGCCCCTGGGAGCACTCACCTTCCATGTGGATGATACTCTGCTGCAGTTTGCTCAGCAGCCCATCCAGAGCCGTGTAGTTGGTCACCTTGAAGGCATGGGTCTCCTTGGGATTGGAGGCGATCAGCTTCAGCTCCTCGTAAGTTCTATTTTTCTGAAACGCACCTCCCACCTGCACAGAGTCCCCCATCAGTGGGACTCCATCACCATCTCTTTCCTCCCCTGCTCACAGCTTGACAGCCCCAACAGAACTCCAGTTTTGGGTTTTTGGTTTTTTTTTTGTCTTTTTGAGACAGGGTCTCCCTGTAGCCCCAGCTGTCCTGGAACTTACTATATAGACCAGGCTGGGCTCAAACTCATGAAGATCCACCTGCCTCTGCCTCCCAAGTGCTGGGATTAAAGGCATGTGCCACCGTGCCCCACCAGAACTCATTTTGCCAGTGTTTTCCGACGAACCAGCCTCCATCTTCTTGATGCATGCTGTCCTCTCTGCCTACAGAGTCTGACCTCCCTCCCTAAGTTAAGAGCAGCTATTCCTGTCATCTGCCAGAACTCAGCTCAGTACTCACTCCCCAGGCCATAAAATCCCCTGGAACTGGAGTTATGGACAGTTGTTAGCTGCCATGTGGGTGCTGGGATTCGAACCTGGGTCTTCTGCAAGAACAGCCAGCGTTCTTAACTGCCATCTCTCCAGCTTCCCCCACCCAGGAACCTTTATATAGCCTCTCCACATCCCAGTCAGCCAATGAGCTGTGTGCATGGCTGGATGGCTGAAAATGAGCCCTCTATAGAAGACCCAACAAGAAGTGGGGTGTACAGGACCTGGGAGCCAGGACCAGAAGGCCAGGTGGAAAGGACTGTTTGTGAATAGAGAGGGTTTAGATACACTGTTTCCAGAAGGCTCTATAGGTTTCCTCCCTGCCTAGGCTGTGCAGACACAGGGGTTGCCTCTCAACTCTTGGTTCTTACCCCGATGGCAAAGCGCTCAATACCATGCATCTTTGGGGAGCTGATGACAGTTTTAAGGTCAAGAGGGTCCTGAAATATGTCACCATCAGTAAGCACCACCATGACCTTCGATGCCTTTTTCCTGGAGCCACGGCTTGCTGTGAAGATGTTGTCTCTTAACAACAGGGGAGAGAGAGAAGACAATTTTCCAGAGGGATGTCTGAGTTCCAGATTAGATTTTAGTCACTAACCTGCTCTAGAATTGGAGAGGTTAAGGAGCCGTACAGAATGGGGAATAAAAGCCCAGAAAATTATGGATTTGGCTCTTATGTCACACAGCAAGGCACAAGTCACAGAGATACGTGTGTTCCTCCCCTGCTTCCTACAGTAGGCTGGACAGCACTTGTGTCTACCCCTTTTATGTATATACAATATAGTGTTTTATATTAAAAGAGTGCGCAATACTGACATCATACTTATTTTTAAGTTAAGATTATTTTACTTTATTTTTAAATTTTATTTGGGGAAGGGGGTTGAGTCAGGGTCTCACTATGTAGCCTAGGTTGGCCTTAAACTCACAATTGTGCCTCCTGAGTGCTGGAAGTACAGGCATGAGCAACCATGCCTGGTTTACAAGGTACTTACACACCAAGCACTATTATGAACATTGTATATATTTTAATCATTTAAACCTCACAAAATCAGGACTTTTTCTATCCTCCTGTTAGACATGAGGATGTGGAAGCATAAAGAGATTAGGAAAGGACTTCGCACAGGAACAAGCTGAGATTTGAGCCCAGCAGCCTTCTCCTGAGCACTCTGTGTTTCACAGGAAGAAGTCCTTAGAGGAGTTTCTGGAGGACAGTCCTGGGGTATCATCCCTCACATCCTCTCTCAGTCAAGGAAGAGTTAGCACCCTGGCCTCCCCCTCCCTTCCACAGTTCTGTCCAGGCACTCCCCTGGCACTATGGCACAGAGTCTCTGGCAGAGCTGGTTGGTGGCACCCCACTCACAGTACGTGCTGTATGGCTGAGGCAGTCTTAGTGACATGCCCCACTTTAGTGATGTTCTGGACTCTGGCAAGGGAGGCCATGACATTCCAGCTGTCTTGAAGGTCGAACTCAGTCTGAATCACTTCCCCATACTGTACCAAGGCAAAGCTGCACTGGAGGGGAGGGGAGGATGGAGAAGGAGGTTGGCAGATTTGTACTACAAACCACTCCTACTCCTGATAGGGCTTTTCCTGGAAACAGGAAAGAAAACCATTCATCTGTCTTGTCCTTGGGCAAAGATGCTAAGGCAAAGGGAAAGCACTAATCAAGTAGTGGTAGAGGAGGGTGAGTTCTCTGTCAATCCATGACCTTGTGAAGACCCCTCCACATTGACTATGGGATTGATCATGTGACTTTGGCCAATGGGACAGGAGCAAATGCATATATTGGGTCATGCCTTCTTGGGGTACTGGTGCATGAAAAAGTTGGGCTAGTCTGCTGGAGACCTATGCCCCCCATAAGTGAGTAGAGCCATCTCGGGCCAAACAGACTGTCAAGCAAAGGGATGCCTAGAGCTGCATGGCAGCCCCTGGCAAGTCCCACAGAAGGGTCACCCAGCTGAGCTCAGCCCAAATATTTGAACTATGAGTAAATGAAAAGGTGGTTGCTTTGAAGCAGTTACACAGACACAGATAAGTGACAGATGATGTGAGGCCAGCCTTCAAGGAAGCCCACCTCAAAACACTTCTCGTAGAAGTTTTTCATCATGTTGGAGATGAAATTTTTAGCCGTCTGGAAGTCTCTGGGGTCAATGCTTCCTGAACCATCCAGGATGATGGCAATCTCGGTGCCTGGCCAAGAAAAAGGAACAGGTCAGGAGTGGGTATGAGCTTTGGGGTAGGAGTAAGGGTAGCAGGCCCTGCCTTGTAAGACCCACCTCCCAACACACACTTAAATCCTACCGTTCAGTTCAGGGAAGCTAGGAAAGCTCCTAAGAATGGCGTTCTTATCTTAAAGGCAAAGAGAATGCCAGAACCTGCCATGGCTCTGACTACTACGGGAGTCACTCCCATCCTCTATGCTCAGTGCTTCCCCATCTGTAAGATGGGGGCAGTAGTGATACCTTGCTGGGCAAAGGAACTTGTTGTCAAGTGTGATGACCTGAGTTTGATGCCCAGAATCCAACCCACATGGTAAAAGGAGAGAACTGACTACTGCAAGTTGCCTTCTGCCCTCCACATATGTTCTTCAGCATGGGTGTGTGTGTGTGTGTGTGTGTGTGTGTGTGTGTGTGTGTGTGTGTGTGTAATAAATAAGTAAATAAATAGATGTAAAAAAATGAGAGGACAGAGCTGGGACTAGCCACACCTGTAGGACCAGCCAGTGCCCCATCTCCCAGACCTGAATATGCCTTGACCCTGGAGGCTATCAGCTTGGAGATGGGCTCTGGAGGCAGCTGGTCTGCCTCTTCTCACCAGCGTCTTCTTCTTTGTCCTCTTCCTCCTCCTTCTCTTCCTTTTCCACAGCCCGAGGCCTCCTGACTGTGTTCTGATCCTCCCCTGTGTTGCCCTCTTTGTTCCTGTAGCAATCACCAGTATCCACACATTTGTTGGAATCCAGGAGACTTTCTTCAAGAAACATACAGGAAGGATTCAAAGTCAGAAGGCTTCAAGCTCCTCTGAGGCAAGGATAGCTCTGTTCTGACAAGAGACCTTAAGCCTGCTTGTCCTATTCTGGTCATTAGTGTCTGTCTCTGCAGTGCCCTGGTGTATCTCTTTGGAGACCTGAGGGATCCCTTTAGGGATGTCCAAGGCCAGAGAGTGTCCAATTCTTACCAAGGTCAGAGAAGTTGGTCCAAGCGTTAGGGTATAAGTTGGGGGCCAAGAGACTGCAGTTGCCTGTGAGCTCTAAGTTGAGGCTATGGGACTGCCGGGCCTGTACCTGAATGCATATCTGGGGAGAGGGGAAGAAAAGGAGCAGAAAGGCTGAGTCAGCCCCATATCATAGCCACTGTCATCTCTGTTCCAGAACGCAGAGGTTCAACCAGATAGAGAACATCTACCTTACCCCTCACCAGGGGCAGCTATCAGCTTCCAGGATCAAAGATACAGTCAGTACCTGACATCAGTGTAGACGGTCAGACCTCTGATATCACCAGGCCAGACATCAAGGCCAAACACCAGGGAGACAGCATACCAGTAGGACTGGTAACATCATCTTTACCCACAGGGGTCAACACCAGCCTCCCCAGGACCCAGTGTCCTCCTGCCCATGCACTCACCAAAACACTGTCTTGGTTCCGGACAACGGTCACTCCCCGCCTGCCCTTTGGGTTAAGGATGTAGTCTGAAATAGTTAAGCCAGGGAAGGAGAGAGGGATGCTGGGAAGCAACCATCAAGTCAAGGTCAGGAAAGGAGGAAGGGATGCTGGGAGACAAGTCAAGATCTGGAGCACAGGACCGCTGATGTCAGCAGCCTCTAGAAGCTGGGGTGAGGGGTTCTACAGAGTAGCTAAGTCATGCCAGGATACAATCCCTGTCCCAATCCCAGTTATCATTTCAGCAAATACCCACTTGGTGCCTATTCTGTGCCCAGCCTTGAAACTAATGGGGATGGGGATTCAGAAATGACTGAACAGGCTCCTGGGGGCAGGGGTGTTCTAGGTAGAGAAGTACTACTGGTGGGTGTGTATAAAGTTCAGGGAAGTATACAAGATGCTATGCAGCTGCCTGCATGAACTGGAAAGTCCCCAGCATCAAAGACCAGCCCAGAGACAGCGGTCTGTTCCACAGTCCCAGGGCAGAAGTGGAAGCACCCTCTGCTGGGTCTCAGTTCTCCTGATGGATTTTGAACTGCCACACTCAGAGTGTCTCAGAGACAAGCATTCTACTCAAATAGCCACTGATTGAGCAAGCACATGGGTGACCCCCACTGGACTGATGGTTAATGAGCAAGTCGGGCTCATTCATTTCTTCATGCCTTCATTGGTTAGTCAACATACTATGTGCCTAATGTATGCCACGCCCCGTGCTAGGTTCTGGGAGGGCCACAGTTAAGATGGGACAAATAGGGTTAGCGTAAGGAGTTGTGTGGGATGGGGGTTGCACCCATAGTGTCACCAAGTCTGAAAGAGTGACCTTAGTCACAATAACAACCAAGAAACTTAACTTCTCTAAACTGTAATTTCCTCTCCTGTAAATAGCTTGGCTTTAAGGGTTAAAAGTGAACAAAGTGGGACTGGAGAGATGGCTCAGTGGTTAAGAGCACATACTGCTCTTCCAATAGACCTTAGTTCAATTCCTAGCAACCATGTTGGGCAGCTCACAACTGCCTGTAACTCCAGCTCCTGGGGGATCAGATGCCTCTGGCTTCTGTGGGCATCTGCACTCATGTACACACACACACACACACACACACACACACACTCACACTCACATGAGAGAGACACACACACACACTCACACTCACATGAGAGAGATAATAAAAAAAAAAACTTTTAAAAAAGTGAACAAAAGCCAGGAGTGGTGGTGCACGCCTCTAATCCCAGCACTTGGGAGGCAGAGGCAGGCAGATCTCTGTGAGTTAGAGAG